CCAGGGACGCTACAGCCCCGGCCTCGGCCGGCAGCGACAGAGCCCGACCCCCTCAGCCACACATGTACCGCAAGAGAGCCCGTGGGGGGGCCACAACGGCCCTGGATCCCCAAAAAGAGAGGGGCAGGGACCAGGCTGAGCCCCATGGGGACAGCTACCATGGGCCAGGGGACAGAGCCGGCATCACCACAGCCCCCTGGGAGGGCAAGGCTGGGCTCAGAGCCCAGGGGGGATTTGGCACAGTGAGACCCCCAGGGTGGGGCAGCCCAGCCTGGGGCAGGAGGGAGCTGGGGCAGCCCCATCTGCCCCCCCTGCCCAGCACCAACACGGACCAGGACCAGGAACTGGTGTGTATTCCCACAGCATGATCCCATCCCAAACCCACCCGTGGCAGGAATTAGTGTCAGAAAGGAGCAGCAGGCACGGAGCCCAACCTGGAGAATAGCCCTTGGAGAAGCCACTAAGAGAAAAAGGCCACCTGTGACCCCCCACTGTGCCCCTCCCCGGGCTGCTCAAGGCCTCCAGTGCCTGCTTGGGAGCCAGGGGGTCCCTGTTGGGCTCCCCTGGGAAGGAGACAGTCCCTGTATGGCAGCCGGAGCTGGCAGGGGACGGGGCTGTAAACTGCAGGGAGCCGGGCATGTAAACACAGACCAGGGTATAGGGGGGGCCGTGCCCAGGGGCTCCCGGCCCCCCACCTCCCCGAGGGACCAAAACCGGCGGACAAGGGGGATCCCACGAGCCCCAGCCCTCCCCACGGAGCCGGGGAAGCAGCAGCATCCCCCAGGAAGGGGGCTCTGGAGCATGGGACAATGACACTTGACCGTGTATAAAAAAGAAAAATATCTTCCCCGGGAAGAGTTTGTGCCCCGCAGGCCCAGCTCAGGGGTCCAGGGCCGGCGGCCAGGCAGGGAGGTGTGGGGGGAAGGTGCCGGAGCCGGGGCGGTGTTAGAGAAGAGGCGAGTCTACGTTACATGGGGAGGGGGCGCGGGGGGTCCAGTCGAGTCGCGCATCCCGGGAATCCGAGCACTGAGATGGGTCAGGGAGGCCGGCGATGCCTGTGGGGGACACAGCCCCTGAGAAGGGGACCAGGGGGGCCTGGGACACACGTCCCCCCTGCTCCCCTTCCTCCATAAGCCTCAGGGACCACAGCACATTCCCATTCCTCCCATGAGGAATTTGGATGCCAGGGCGTGGCATTGGGTTCCCAGGTCCAAACTCCACTCCCACCCCAGGGACCAGCCCCTCACAGACCTCACTTGATGAGGATCCCCGTGGGCCGGGCCTCGTCCTCGCTGGCATTCCTCAGGTTCCGCTCTGCTTCCTCTGAGGACCTGGGGCAGAGCAGGGTCAGGGGCGGTTGAGGGCACCCTCACAGCCCCTTGCACCAGTCACCTCATTCCCACCCCACTCACGCCAGGAAATCCTTCACTTCCTCCACGGTGGTGTCCCCGGTGGTGTCCAGCGGGTTCTCCAGGCTGCTGTTGGGGGAGTCAATGGGGCCAGGCGAGAAGGCAGCCAAGTGCTCCTCAGGGGACCCTGGAGAGCGATGGGGACGGGAGGGATTGGAGGCAGCCAGGCCATGGAGCCGGCCCCAGAGTAGAGCCCACGGGACATGGTGTCCGTGCTGGGACAGGGGGATCACTCACGGTCGCTGTCGGAGGGGGAGTGCCGGCCCTCGGGGCTGCGCGGGACGTGGGTGCCATTCGCCTGTGGCAGCTTCGGTGTCGCCATCAAGCTGTTGCTGGAAGGAACGGGACAAGTTACATCCAGAGCCCGTGCCAATGGGGTGGGTGTACAGGGCTGCTGCCACAGCAAAGCCCCCCACGCCCCCAGGGCACGTCCCACCTGAGGCAGGAGGTGTCCTGGAGCCGGGCGACCTCCAGCCGGCACAGCGGCTCCGTCACGTTCCTGGCGCTCAGCGAGAAGCGCTCGAACTCGGACGGCGAAATTAGGTAGAAACCTAGAGAGGAGACAAAAGGGAGCCTTAGGGGGCTGCAGCAAAGGACAGTGTCCCATCAACATGGGATGTCACCTGGTGCCCTCACCTTGGCCATGCTTGGTGAAGACACAGGAGGCAATGCCGCTGATGTCCTCCTTGCGGATGCAGCCGTAGTGGACCTGGGGCCGCAGGCTGGGCACGGTGAAGATGTGGATGTCCCCCAGGTTGGTGAGACAGGCCAGGCAGTTCTCCAGCCGCTCCTCAGAGCCGGCGCTGGCGCTGGCCAGGCTCACCAAGGCCACCTTCCGCACCCGGCAGCCCTCGTGTGCCGTCAGCTTGAACTTGGTCTTGGCACTCACTTTGGGGAGCGTGAAGACCTGGGAGGGGGAGAGGAGCCAGGTGTCAGAGGGGAACAGGAACCTGCAGGGTTTTGGTGGCTACCTTTGCCCTTAGCAAAGGGCAGCACCTTCCCCTTGGATCCACCACTCTAGGGAGAGGCATAGGAGGGCTCCCAGACTTGGCTGGTCACCTCCAGCCCTGTTCCTGCACAATGGGGACGCAGGACATGTTGTGTCCCATCCCTTCCACAGCAGGACAATGAATCCCACGCTCACCTTGAACTGCTCCTCTGAGGAGATGAGCATGGAGTGGCTGCCCTGCATGTCGGGGGCCTTGGCGAGGTCCCGAGACACCTCGTAGGGCTCGGGCAGGGGGTTCCCCCGCCCATCCAGCACTGCAATGGCCACCACTGGCGCCCGGTGCATCAGCTGGATCTCCTTCCCCAGCACCGCCTCCACCGCCCGCTCCGAGAACTTCTCCTGTGACGGCACCTCCAGGGCGTAGGCGAACACCGACCCCGAGTTGGTCCCTGCCCACATCGTGGGGCCGTGGTGGGCGGCTGCAGGGGAGGGAGCAGTGTCAGAGCCCCCTCCCCATGGCATGGCGCCAGCCAGACCCAGCTCAGGGGCTTTTCCTGGCGAGGGAGGGGGGTCTCACCGTCGCGAAGGAAGGTGTCGGCAAAGTAGAGGCACCGCACGACCCCCGAGAGCGAGTCATCGGCCGAGCGGGGCTCGATGCGCCGCTGCACCGGCGTCATCTCCACCTCGGGGGGCCCCGCCTGCTCCGCCAGCTGCGCGTTGGCCTCCTGCACCTGGGGAGGGGGACATGGGGTCAGTCCCTGCCTGGCGGGGACACGGACCCGCCGTGGTGGCCCCTGCTCCCTGCCCACCTTGCTGGAGGGGCTGCTGGCGTTGAGCCTCTTCTTGCCGGACACGCGGCTCTTGCGGATGCGGCGGAAGGACTGGCGCAGGGACTTCTTGAGGGACTTCACGCGGGACAGGGGCCCCTCCATGGCCAGCGAGTCGTTGGGGTGCAGGGTACACCTGCGGGCACCGATGCTGCTCAGCACCCAGACCCCGACACGTCGCTCTGGGGTATCCCCAGCACCGAGAGCCCCCATACCTGGCCAGCACGGGGTTGCGCCGGTAATAGTCGAAGAGCCCGAAGCCGTGGCTGGTGCCGAAGGCCACGAGGTTCCACTCGGAGTGGAGGGTGACAGCGGTGACGGCGGCGGGGGGGACGCACTGCACCAGCACGCTGGGCTGGAAGCCGGGGGCGAAGTGCAGGGGGCCATTCCGGGGGGCCAGCCGGTCGTGGCCCTTCCAGGTGAAACCCTCACGGTCCTGCAGCAGGTCCACTGTGGCCACGCTGACCGCGTGCTCTGACTTCTCGTCACTCAGTTCCATCACCAGCACCTGCAGGGACAAGCATGGATGGCGGGACACGCGCTGGACCCTCCAGACAGTCCCCTTGCAGCATGCCAGGGGCTAAACCTCGTGGGTAGGAGCCTTTCGGGGACAGCCATGGGGGTCTGTGGGGCCTGCAGCCCCCACCATGCTGTGGGTCCCCAAGTGGGGAGCTGAGAGGTTCCCAGCAGCCCCCGCTCTGCTCTCCCTGCCCTACCTGCCCTGCTGTGCCTGCCACCACCATCTTGGCCGTGTACTTGCAGAGCGCGATCTTCTGCACACCCAGGCGTGGGTCGTCGCTGTAGGGATCAAAGCAGCCCACCTGTGTGTGGGGGGGACAGGTGAAGGGGGGCTGGGACCCTTCATACAGCTGTGGGGTGGGCCCCCCACTGCACCCCCACATCCTCCCAGCAGCTGTGGCACATGGCATCACGCCCAGGGAAGGTCTGTCCCCACGCACCCCCCGACTCTCCCCCTCCACCAGGGCAGACCCGCGGGACGGGGCACACGGAACAAACGCCCCTTGTGTCCCCACGGTGCGTCACACGGCAGCTGTGCCCTGAGCCGGGGGACACGTCCCCGGGGCGCAGCCGGGACGGCTCCGGCAGGTGCACCCCCCGTGCCCGCCTC